CCGAGGATCCTTTCCCACGTGAAGCCAGAAGGAGGCCAACGGAGGAAGATTTGGACAAGGATTTTGACCCGAACGAGGAGGTAGGGAAAAAGCCTTAGCTTGTAAATTTTGTTAAAGCTTTGGCTGTGTTACTTCTGCTAACACTTTGACCTATCATATATACAGGTCCCTCCTGAAACTCGAAAAAGACGACATCGACGTCCGCGACATCTCGCTGGACAAGACGGAGTAGAGAAAAGGAGAGCAGAGGTAACAGCCACAGAGACGGACATTGAGGCCTCTGCTCCACAACCTCAAGACACAACCACGACTACCAAGCCTAAGAGGAAACGAGGGGAAAGAAAAGCAAATCAATATCCAGATAAGGCATGTTATGAGATAACGGAGGTCGGGCCAGCAAGGGAGATCCTTGAGCCGAAGGAATTCAGAGAACGATTTCGTAATGTGATCGGGGCCCTAGTAAGAGATAAATTAAACCTAGCAATCCCTAACTGGAAAGAGGTACCAGAGAAGAAAAAGGATGAACTATGGGATAGGCAGCTGAAGCTCAATTTTAGATTTCCAGAGGGTAAGCACGAACTGGTAAAAAATGCTTTTAGGATCATGGGAGAGTCATTCCGACGTTGGAGGTCGGAGCTCAATAAGAAGTATATCCAAAAGGGGTTAACTCCCTTCAACGAGTTCGGTAACATAACTCCTAGTCAATGGAAGGAGCTCGTGGCTCAGAAGACTTCACCGGAGGCATTGAAACTTAGTGCCCGTAACACTGAGCTAGCGAAGAGGAACAAACACCACCATCATCTAGGCCCCGGTGGCTACTATGCCAAGGAAGAGCAGTTTAGGAAGATGGACGAAGAGGCCACAACTGCTGGGAATATCGATGTGAAGAATTTGAAGGTACGCTCAAGGAATTAGATATATGCGAGGAGTACAGAATCATCCGGTGATAATCTTAAGTTTGATAAGCTGGAGACCCAAGAGGCAGTATCAAGGATACTAAAATATGCTGAAGACAAGAACAAGGGCTCATTCAATCCTTCCAGAGAGAGGGACGAGCTTAGCCTTGACTTAGGAAACAAGGAGCACACAGGACGCACTAGGCGGCTAGGGAAAATGATGACCTGGAAGCACAGATTCGAAGAGGACAGGCACATGTACAAGAAACATGGTAGAGACCGGGAGACTAATCTTGAGCTCCAAGTAAAGGCTCTAGTTGTGAAGGCGCTAGAGGAGCAAGGACTGTCTATGGAGCCACGGACATTAATGACGCCGCCGGGAGAACTGGCATTAGTTGGCAGCCCTCTGAAAGTTCCTAGCAGCCAAGGTTCCACTGCAGCGACAACCCCCATCGATCGCATACGGGAACCAACTAGTTGCACCTTGGTGTTTCTTATCGGACGGCAGAACATTGTGATGGAGGTGGCAATGGGTGTGGCACATCCTCCCAATGGCTTACACCACAATAATAAGATACCGCCAGACTACACTAGGGTCGAGGTGCATACCGTGAAGCCCGAGTTCATGCAGTGGAGGATAGACTACGCAACTCCCGAGGGGCTGGTGTTACTCTGAGACGTAATGGGGCAGTTCATCCTCTGGCACAAACGGGACATTATATTGACTGCTTCTTCACCACCTCCCCCTCTCCCAAATTTGGAGCGAGTTGTTGAGGACGGGGAGATATTTTCACAGTCTCGTGACCACCACATTCCTGAGATGCCACATTCTTCCCCGCCTCCTAGCGAGCATGTGCCTGATAAGCCACAACCTTCTCCAGCTCATATTGAGCAAGTGCATAATGAGATGCCACAGTCTTCTCAACAAGCACAGCCGATACATGAACAACGAGTGCCTCATGAAGAAGGTGATGCACAAGAAGATGAGGACGTGCCTGCATGGGAACTTCGAAAGAAGCATCCAATCACCATAAGATCAATTTATGTTCCAATGAAAGACGTCTCGTCAATGCACAAGAGGTATTCTCATGACCAGTTCAAGCCTGAAAACCAAGTTAAAAAGTCCCATCACGGGCTTCTGAGGAGGCCATCACTAGCAAACTCCACCAAACAGCAAAGCAGTATCCAAATGTTGATGCCATCAAATGATCAAAGGATTGCCCGAAAACATATAAAAGAGGCAAGCCCTTCCTACCAAACCGGGACATCCAGCGCCAACCACTTGAAATGAGAAGGTTCCATGATTGGTACTTGCGTGTTCTCCTAACGAGTATAGACCTCGTACAAGCGTGCTTCCCCACCGGCACATTTGGAAGCCCAACCGGAAAAATTGTCTTTGAATTCAATGACATGCAGACATGCTTTCACCTCGAAGCAATGGAGATGAATCTAATTCACACGTGGTGCCTATAAGTCATTGTCCTCCCGATATGATATGAATGTAATCTTTGAATTTTATTATAACTAACCCACGCCGTGATTTGTAGAATGCAAGTGCACATTGTAAAACAAATGTCAAGTGTGAAAGCCGAGTTTATAGACCCTCAAGTTATAGCACAAACAAATTTTAATTACCCTAAACAGTGGAAATTGGATGACAAAGAGCTAGCTGCTGGAAAGATCCTTCGGGAGAAAGAGGACATCCGTACAAAGAAACTAAGGCGAGAGTTCCTTAAGGTTTCGGCATACATTGCCCTGGCTTTTAAAAATCTCCAACAGCACTCTACTATATGATTACCATACAACTTCGAGTAAGTTCAACTCTATACTTAAAGCTTTGTTCGATATATTTTATTCGATGCAAAAGAGCTTATCTAGTTCTATGATTAAATCCATGCAACAACCACTGGATTTGTATAGGCGTCGATGTCGGGAGGAGCGTGGCATAGGTCTTTGATTCAATAGATAGGGACCCAGTGACATACAAAGATTTCATATCAATTCTCAAGACGTATACATATCGACAATCCTCATTAGCTTATATGTTTGTATACATACTTGTAACGTTCACTTTTGGATACTAACAAGTTGTATTTACTAAAATAATTCGAACAGTGCATTTAGGTTCTATGTCACTAAACATCATGAAAGGCATGATCTAGTAAGAAAGGAAAAGCTGGCTATAAAAACACTATGTGCGGTAAGTGTAACTTACTTCTTCAGTACTCCATTACATGGCTGTCAAAAGCAATACTTAACATTTCCATATGCAAAACACACAGTGCCCCAAGCAGAAGCCTGGGAGTGTACATTGTGGATACTATGTATGTTCTATGATGAGTAACACTGGTGCCTACAGGAGACACCCCTTAAGGGTAAGTTTGAACCTCTTCACCCGTAGTATAAAAACTTCGTGCATGGTATGAAATACTAAACCAAAACTTGTTCTCTTGTAGTGGAAAGAAGAGAAAGAAATAAAAAGAGACCCATACAAGGATGACCAACTCTTATAGCTCGTCGGCGACCTTTGCAACTTTATATTGAACCATATTGTACACGTCAAAGGCACCTACCATGACCGAGAGTGTGACTTAGGTAAAAATCCTCAGTACCAACACCTTCGTGAGACTGAAAGTCTAGCTCTAAGCCGTTGATAACAATGTGTATGGAATTTAACATTGGTTTTACCTTGTGAATTATGTCTATTTAATGATGGATTGTATATATTCCTGTGAATTGGACTTGTAATTATAGTTTATATAATACTCTTGTACTTGTAGTTTATATAATACTCTTGAGCGAACACGGTTCGGAGGCTGCGTTTTACGAATCGCGGGTCGTAGTTAAGTTTCGCGCGTTCCATGCCGCGGGCAATTCCCGGTCGCGCGTTGGTCACGGGACGTTCGGCGGGATTATCTCGCTTTCCTCGCTCACTCGCAACGCGAACGTGGGAATACACAGAAACAAACAGGGCCATATGTATGTTCTGGTCGAATTTGAATTGTAAATTTAAATTTTTTTTACAGAAAAATATACTGTAGGGGCGGTTCTAGACTAAACCGCCCCTACAAACATGTATTATAGGGGCGGCTGGTACTACAGCCGCCCCTACAAGCCGCTCCTACAAATCGATTTGTAGGGGCGGTCTAGGAACCGACCCTACAAATGCATGATTTGTAGAGACGGTTTGATAGGGGCGGCTGGTCAAACCGCCCTACAAATGGTCTTGAGCCGCCCCTACAAACCCTGTGTGACGTAGTGTGTTTTTTGGAATTTTTCCAAAAAAAAAACAGGATACACGCACGCGTGCAGGTTCGGTGCGTGTTTCCCACGTACCGAAGGCTAGAGAGCCACAATCTCTTATTTGCGTGTGTATGTACGCACACGCGTGTGTACGTGTGGTGTAAGTGTGGAGTGTAAGGTGAGCACACGAACGTGGGGGCAATGCTCCCCATTGGACAACGGGGCGCGGAGTCACAAAACCCGCAACCCATTGCGACGGCACTTGGGCCCAGCATCCTGCGTGGTGCCACGTACTCGGTGACGCTTTTTTTGAATTTATAGAGACGACCATATGTCCATTTTACTGTTCTCAATTAATATTGACCATGTGAGGTAGATGGACGTAATGCCTGTAAACCCATTTCAACAGCCTGTGTAAGGGCTTGTTCGGTTGTTCCAGAACCGCAAAGGAACCGTTCCTGTTGATAATGGTTATTCAAATTAACAAAACAATCCGGAGGAATCAATCCAGAAGATCATTCTGTAGCAACCGAAGATGCCCTAAATCTATTATGTGGTAGTGATACACAAATAGAGATAAGACTTAAGAGATGGGCGACATCTGAGCCGTAGTAGTCTAGTAGATATGATCCTTTGGCTAATTGAACCAGCAAATCTTTAACCAGCGCTAGAGCAGCAGACAGTTGATGGACAAGTGGGTGGACGTAGCAGTTCAGCTCTGTGTCAGCTAGTGGGCTCCACCACAACACCCTTGCCGATCTCCATTCTCCTCGTCGCATTCGCATTCGGCATATCCATCCACGTGCCCAGCTCACTGATGACGTGGAGGATGGAGTGGAGCGGTTGCTGATGGAGGTCAGGTCAGAGCGGCTTCCTGTGGTTGGAGGAAGCCATGAGGAGGACCATGGCGACGGTGAACATGAGCAGCATGCTGGCCAGCAACGTGTAGGTCCGCCGCGACGACCGCCGGTACTCGCCGAAGAGCACGACGCCCCAGAAGGTGCTGACCAGCGGCAGCGCCTGCACGGAGTCGGCGGCGGCGTACCCCGCCGCCTGCCCCGCCATGAACGTGAAGGCGTTCCCGAGCCCGCACACCATCCCCGCCAGCATCGCGAGCGCCCTGCCCTCGCCGCCGTCCCGGAGGTAGGCGGCCACGGTGGAGCTCGGCACACCGGCCATGATGGGACGGTAGAGGAGCCACACGTTGAGCGCCGCGCTGACGGCGAGGCAGGCCAGGGAGAAGTAGAAGTAGGCCGTGTACACCACCAGGTGCGGCACGCCGCCGCCCGCGGGGAGCGCGTGCCACTGGTCGTTGGTCGCCAGGTTGAACGCCGGCGCGAACAGCGCGTAGAAGACGCCCGCGAACACCACGATCCCGAGGCCCAGCAGCGTGTGGGATCCCAGCACCTGATGATGGGGATCCAGATTTAGTTTTGGACGACATGATCAGATCGAATTGAAGTTTTTTTTTTTTGTTTATCAATGAATTATGATTGAGATTTTGTTGTTCCACCTATTTTAATTGACCTCTTCTCCTCCAGATCAACCAGGAACTCTGCCGTTCCTGCCTCTACTTTCTCCAGGGCCTGAGTAGCCTCTGCTGCATCCGGCTTTGCTTCTTCTGGATCCTTTGGTATCTCTGCTAATCAAAATATTATGATGAACAAAGCTATACTACAGTACAAATGTTTCAGATTTATACTGACAAAATTGTTTGGTTTGTTGATCCAACTGTACCTTTGTCAAGGAGGTGTTTGGTGAGATCCTCATCTGCAGTGTTCCTATGGAAAATTAATTACAGAAAGTCAGAAACCACACATTGTTCAGATGCAGATGGAGTAGTGACAGTAATGCCATAACAACATGTGTGTTTATGCGCATATTATTGCAGAGTTGCATGCAACCACAACATGCGCATGGACTGAAACTGAGAGTGGCAGAAAAACTGTACATCTACCTTGTGTTTTTGCTGTAGTTCGCCAAGGAGTTAGCCAGCTTTTCCTGGTTATCGGCGGCATTGGAAGCGTGGACAAGTGACCCAAGGATGGCCGCAATGAGGAAGCAACCGACACCAGGAAAGAGGATCTCCGCCTTGTTGATCCGGCCGTCGAGGAAATAGTTGAGCGTTGTCCCTTGGAAGACAAGTTTCAGTTCAGTTCCATGATGATGATGATGATATTCAGAGTTTCAGACTCTGAACAGTTGAGTCGACAAATATCTTCAGACTCTGAACAATGTATGTACATGTACCTATGACGACCTTGAGGCTTGAGGCCATGACTTCAGTGACGGAGAGCCCGACGAACGCCCAGCCGTACTGCGTGGCCAGTGTCCCCAGGCTGAGGGTGACGCCGCCCGCCATCGCAAACAGGACCGAAGGCCAGTTGTTCTGACAGATAGACAGAACAACCAGAGTTTCAGATATTCAGACATGCATGTTTCCACTTCCTTCAGGTCTGAATGATGTACTGAAAGAAAACTGAATGTGTGACCGAGTACTAATTGAAATGGAAAGTGAGCTACCTGAACCTGAGCGAGCTGGGTGAGGAAGTTGGGCGTCTCCGGCGTGTCGGGGCCGATCTGTCCGAAGGTGAGCGCGACGAGCACGGCGGCCAGGAAGTTGGTGACGGAGAAGTCAAGGAACGTGTGCTGCGGCAGCCGGCCCCGCCGCTCCAGCACCGCCAGGACAACCGGCCAGGTGCCAAGGAGAACCAGCGCCACCGCCATCAGCCCGATGGCGCCGCTAATGTCCTTCACCAGGTACATCTTGACGAAGTCGACGGCAGGACCAATCAACAAACCTGATGCAAGAAAAACAAACTTTTGTCAGTCACGCTTACTGATTTCACTTCACACAAACGAAATGCAAGGGAACTCGTCCTAAAGAATCCGGAAGTCAGAGGACGTAGGGCTATACTCTAATGAATTCGTCCTAAAGAATTCAAGTCAAATTCTGCGGCTCAACTGTCCACAAGACAACAAAGAACCTGTATAACAATAGCTTGTCGCTCTACTCTCTTGTCAAATTAACAAGGAAGGCACGCACTACATATTGATAATTGATTGCAGCATGCTGTTTCTAGATCTAAGATCCTATGAACGCTGCTAGAAGAACAAAATATGTCAAGTTGAAATTCCTATATATAAGCTGTAAAATGCCACTCAATTGCCGGCCGTTTTATCTGGGAAACTCTGAAACTGCTTAAGAAGACAAAAGGAGCTAGACAGAGAAACGATGAAACTCTGAATCCAAAAATATATATATACGACTTGCAACTCAAAAAGCAAGTTGAATGCACAATTACAAGCCTGCAACTCAAAAAATGTTCATGATAGAACAGAGTATTGTAAGTGTAACACAGAAGATTTTGTTTTTCAGACATGTCAGTCAGTTCTGTAAAAACCAATGTGAAGGGCTACAGATGTATATGTACACAAAGAAAAGACCTTCGACGGACCACAGCAAGTATCATCATGCAGTCTGACACGACAAAGAGCATTTCTGAGCCAAAGAACTGAACTTGAAAAGAGGGAATATTCATCCAACATAAACAAGCAAAGAACCTGATGAAACGGCAGAACAAATGTTAAAGGGGCGCCACATATATACCAAAAAAAAGAAGGAAGTTAGAAGAATTCTTTGAAGCTTTGGTTTTTTAGCTCTCTGCAACAAGCGTGGCGTGGGTTTTTGAGCTACTAGTGGTGTGTGTGCCTACAGGCTACTAGTACTAGTATTTGTGGAGCCACTCTGAAAGGTTCATCGGCAGTGAGCTGGGACTGAGCGGATATGTGATGAGGAGAATGGAGATTGGGAGGAGGAGCTGGCGTGGGCCCCACCCCGAGCTACTCTACCAACCGAGTGACGAGGAGGTGATTTTGTTAGGTCCACACCCGTATGTGGGCTGTGGACACCACTCAATAATTGCTCTTGATGCTAGTCCTTATCATTTTTTAATATGTTTCTTGTCAGATCTAATACCCATCGCTGATGCAGATGATTTGGCTGCATTACTAGGATAAATCACGTCAATATGTAATTTGCATCAAGCAGGGATGGTAGCAAAACGTAACTTGGCAAGGCAATGTGTAACGGATACAGCTAGTTTAGAGTTTCCTGTAAAGTAGAATACTTGGAAGTCTAGTACGGCTGTCAGGCTGACTATTTCTGTAATTATGTACTACTCCTTTGTTCTAAATTATAAGATGTTTTGGCATTTTTAAATACATAATTTTTTTTTTTGATAAAATTAAAGGGTCTGTCTATACATCTATTGACAGATTTAACACCCTTAAATCTGTCAAATTTTGAACAAATGAGCAGTTGACACATCAGCATTGAAAAACTGACAGATTTGCAACTCAAAAATCTGTCTGATTTCCACAACACGGGTATTGATCAACAAAGATCCAAAACCCGTTACTATTAGCAAAAAAAATCCAAAACACAAAAATAATTAGTTAGCTGTCCATTGATGTTTATTGTGGCTTCCTGTCATGTGGCAGCACGGGGAGTGGATTGATAGAACGAGTTAGCTGCTTGCTGTCCTGTGGCTTTCTGCTATCTGCCCATGTCGCTTTCGCGGCTGCTTCTGCTGTTCCACCGGTCTTTGTTCATTTTAGCTAAAATAGGCAAAATGGCAACATCATAATTCACTGACTCTTGGCTGAACTACAAAATCCAGGTACTCCTTTTCAAACTACCCATACTCATGCCTCGGTCTGCTCCCACAGGCGCCAGATTGTGCTCCTGACAGTGACCGCACTAGCAGCGCTGGAAATGGAAAAGTAACAAATTAGAAGACATGACGACTAGAAACATAGAAAACTCAATATAAACAGAGTAACTGGACATCATCACATACTTCATGGTGTAGGCGCCACCGGCCTTAACCTTCCCACAATCCTTGCATCCCCAGATACCAACTGCTTTCCTCCTCACAGCAAACTGTTATAAATACAAAAGACAATGGCACATGTAAGAATCAAAAAGCAAATAGAAAGAAACATGGTATTCATATAAGGAGTTTCATTAAAACCATTTAAAACAGTGAAAAAGCCAGAAAGGGTCTGGCAGTGTATGCCTTGACATTAACTGACTATCTAGTAGAATTCAGATAAGGTGGAAACTATCTCAGAAAAGTTATAACATGAATCAGGCTATATGAAAGACAGTCACAATTTGATATTGCAAATGGCGATAAACATATTTAACCCAAGTCGCTATTCGTTGCGGTCATCCCAAATAAAGGAGATACTGGAATTAGTCAATAGCACATAATTACTAACAATAAGCAATAGTGTCTTAAAAAAATAGCAGACAAACAATAAATGATACTCAACTAATGCACAATAAAATGGTGTGACTATCAAAGCAAGGCATCACAAAAAACGTTGAGTTTACCTTGCCACAGAACTCACATAAGTACTTGGAGAGCTGGGAGACTGATCTGCAGATGCACCTGCAGATGCCACAAAATCGTTGCAATGGAACTGCTACTTGTCAACCTACACACAAACAGCGTCATCTCATTTATTTAGAAGCAGAGTCAGCAGTAAATAAAACAAAATGAAAATATTAGAACGACAGCAAAATCACAACTACACACACCCCACCCACACAAACAGATAAATAAAGAAACCCACAGAGATAGAGAGCTCAGCCAAATATCAACATTGCACCTTCAGCGTCCTTCTCGATCTCCATGGATTGGTAAGTGGATGTTGGCATCTCATCCCCAATATCAACATACGCTTCCACCTGCTCAGCCATTGCACTGCTCTTCACAGGTTACTCACTCCCCTGTAAAAAATAATAAATAAGAAAACTACCATCAGAGCCCAAACAAATCGCACATCCGCTAGCTGCAACTAAAAACAAACGTGATGCTCCTATTGTCATTACTGCACCATCATTGTCAACCAATGCAGGCACATCGCCCACAAGTGCAGTGTCATCCTACATTCCACAAGCAGCAAAATGAATGAGCAACCGACGATTAGATAGGACATTCAACAAAACACACATCTGATGAAACTACGGATTAGACTGACAGTTTACTACACACAAAAGCACACACTGCACTAATGAGGGGCAGGGGGTTGTACTAAATAATCATATGGAGTGGTATTTTTCACTTAAACTGCTAGGAAATAGTCACACTAGGTAATATCTTGAGAATATATTTTAGTAATCAATCGAAAAATAAAATGGTTAAAAACTGATAACATATCAAATCAAGATTTTCAAAAACGAAGAAACAAAGAAGTTTAAAGAGTGACGTTTATGGATTATGTCGAACTTGCCTCGGAAGATATGCTTGAACTTTCACTCAACATCATGAATATCCCATGCAATAAGCTCCTGTGCTGGAGGCTGCTGTGTGAAATCCTACAAACCACACTATACACCTATTATTGGCAATAGCAAACCAAAAATTCCAAGCAAATAAACGAAAGGAACACCCCAAATACACACTCAGCACACCGGTGGGGGGAGGACGCGCTTTGCAGCATGACGGGGCACAGAGAACCCGCCGTGTGTGCTGGTGTTGCTCGTAGTCAGCGTCTTGCAGAAGTAGTTCGTCGGCTGCTTGCTCATGATTCCCATCTCCGCAGGAAGGTATGCGTCGTTCTGCTCTTGCTACAGCTCACCAAAAAAAATCTGATAAATAATACAGAGAAAATTTGTCACATTCAGCATTAACAAATCCGACACCCAATAAAGGGTTTTCAAAACAAACCATCCAATAGCAGGGAAGAAAGAAACATGACAGGATACTAAAAAAAATATCAAATCTCAAACTCCTACAAAAAATCAAATGCTCACTGAAAAAAACAGCAAATCAACCTGAAGACTACTTGCAGGCCATGCTCATATACAAATCCAAAACCCATAAAGTACAGGAGCGCACGCACAGAGAGAGAGAGAGAGAGAGACATACACACACACCAGCAACTGTCAAAGACACTGCACCCACACAGAGAGAAAAAAGAAACACACACAGAGAGAAAAAGAAACACACACAGAGAGAGAGAGAGAGAGAGTGCAGCTAGCAAACAAATCAAAACTAGCAAAACAACTCTGAAAAAAGAGGTAAACAAATACAGCTCAACATACAAGTCAAATATAAAAAAAATTAAAAAAAAAAACTCCAAAGAGCAGCTAGAAATAAACAATTAGCTCAACTAAAATAAACAAATCAAAACTCTGAAAATTACAGCTAATGGCAAAAGAAAAAGAAAAAAAAAGCACATCTGCAAAACACAGCAACACATTGATGACAACTTACTTCTTATCAATCTCAGGGACATCAGTCGAGCCAGCTTTCTCAACAATCACCTGAAAACATTGATGACAAACAAAATAAATGATGAGGCAAACTGAAATACAACAGAATTCAAATCAATAACAATGCCCACACATACAACCACAAACAGAAACACCCACACCCAGACACTCGATTTCCAGTAGCAAACACACACACACACTCTCTCTCTCTCTCTCTTTCCCGTAGCAGCAACACACACTCACTCTCACACACACTCACACTCACACTCACACTCACACAGAGAAAGAAACACAGACACATAAACACACTCACACTCACACACACACACAGAGAGAGAGAGAACACACACACACAAAGACACACCCACACGCAAACACACACCCACATCCAGACACACACAACAAAACAAAGGCAGTAGCAGCTCCAAAAAACAGAAAAAAAAAAAGGAAGCAACAGCTCAAACAGCAGAAATGCAAATCTACTAAAACAAGTCAAATATATATAAAAACTGCGAAGAGCAGCTACAAATACACAATCAAGAAAAAGAACTCAAATAATCAACACATCTAAAACTGAACAAATGAACTATAAGCATTAGTCGAGATCCAAAAAAAAAAATTGGTTTGGGGCACTCAAAAGGCCAAAAAAAACAAGAAACTTATTCAGCAGCAAGCAGCAAGCAGCAAGCATCTGCAACAAAAAAAACAGCTACAAAATAAGAAAAACTAACTAAATAGACAATCACAACTAACAAAAATACAGCTAATAGCAAAAGAAAAAAAAGGAAGACACAACCACACACACCACAACTATAACTGAACAAGACACACCCCACCCCCACCCAACCGAGTATGCAACAAATTCCTAGAATCAAAAGAAACAAATACACTGCCAAAATGACTATCCAAAAAAGGATGCAAATAACCTGACAGCTAGTACTCCCTGATTCCTGAACTCCCAGGTAACATTTTGTTGCACAGCAAAAACTAACAAAGTGGCATAAATCACAAGGGAAGGGGCAGACAAGCAAGTGCATAACGCCATATTATATGGCACTGAAGCCAAACAATGGAAGGAGACAAAACCCAGTTGAAGAAAAACAACTTCTGGAAGGCCATGGATAATTCATAGCACGGAAGGGTACAATATGACCTATCCATGTGCTGTCTCAGCATCATGTAGTATTATCTCCAGTTACCAACCATACCATGTTTCAGAAGAAATAAACAGGATGCAGCCAAGGGCAATCTTTAAGTTGAGATTGAACTAAAAAAGGATGAACTTCCGATGATACCTCATCAATAATAAACTGCTCAAACAAATACATTACAACCATAAACTTCCTATGCCAGTCCCAAACAAAAAGCATGGACAGCACTTTTAGCCAAAGCAAATCAAGGCCAGCCACCATCTAATAGCACTACTCCACATCGTCAAAATGACTAATCCTGTTATAGAACTACACCAGCGGACCTTGGAAAATGACTGTCACACATATTTCAATACTAATTCAGATAAACCTGCCTGACTGCACAGATTTTGTGCTCACGGCCATAAGCACAGTAAACAAATATGAATGTAAAAAATAGTTTCAATTAACATGCTACAGAATATACCCTGATTAGAACACGTTGGGCTGTTGGCAACACTATAATCCAAGATTCACACATTACAATGCAGAGAACACTGAAATCATCACATAGTTTGGCGGTGATAACATATTAATAAACAAACAAATATCAACACATTTATTACTATCTATGAGCTAGTGCAGATACTGGCGCTTCAGTCCAACAGAATCATTAATCCACACACAAGAAAACAAGCATACTCAAACCACATGATCATCAAAGAACCGAACAGCCAAGCTTTGGTGCATCAGGAATGACAAGTCATCATATAGCACTTATAATTGGGACACAAAAACATACTTGGAAACTGTAAATAAAATTAGCATGGTCATCTGAACTTTCTGAACTCAAGCAGACTACAAAGTAAGTGTAACTTTTATGCACAAGCATTTCTGAATATTACTGACAACGATGATGATAGTCATGATACCGATACTCCTACCTAGATAGGTAATCAGTGAGAAAAAGCAGAGGGAAACATACTCCATCCCGGTTGAACTCCTCACCAAGGTCGTGCTCCACCTCTCAACAACGGCCGCCCTAGTCAAACGCCGCAGCCGCAGCCACATCCACGATTTGGCGCCACACCATCGCCATCCCCTCTCCCACACCCCCCCAGACAGAGTTCCCCCACGCCAGCTACTGAGAAAACAACATTTCGATCCAGATCTACTGCGTCACCGTGCACAGAAACCAGTAGCTCCTCAAACAAAAGCAAAAATCAACGAACAACCATGCGAAGGACAAAAATACACTTACAAATCCCGCTCAGAACACCGCACGCAACAGGCACAGGGGGGAGCGGCGCGTGAAGATAGCACCTCAACGACAGCTCGCCACAGCTCGGTGGAATGGCCGCCCGAAGTCCGACCACCACTCGCCGCGGCACAGGGAGAAGCACAGCGCCTGGACAACGCCCCAGCAACAGGTCGCCACAGCTCGTCGCAGCAACAGCCGAAGGCTCCGCCCCCACCCACCGCGCGCGGCGCAAGAGAGCAGAGCATGGTGCGGCGCGGTGCGCGGCGCAGGGCAGAGAGCGAAGAGGCGTGGCGGGGAGCAGAGAGCAAAAGCGGCGGCGAGGAGTTCGCCCAAACCCCCGCCTGTGCCACGCGCGCGTGGGAGCGGAAACGATGGGGGAAAAATTGCCGTGGGAGAAGAAATGGAAAGATAAAAACGGATCGCGGGTTTCAACTGTTATCAGCCCCTTCGGCTGGGGCTGATTGGGCACTATTTACGTGAACCAGCCAGCAGTATTTCTCTTTCACATAAACAAACCAATAAAGATACGAACCAGCCAACTGAATAGGCTATATTTCGCGGACTCATTAGCCCGTACGCCCAAAATAGCAGCACGAAGCTCCAAAACATAATCAACGGCCCAGAATCTGACAGATAAAAAACAAGAAAATCTGTTGACAGATATATAGCAAAATTCAAATTTAAATACATAACTTTTATTATGCACTTAAATATATATTATATCTAGATACATAATAAAACAAATGTGTCGGGTTCAAAAACCCGGGGTCCTCAATGAGCCCGCTTCCCAGCAAAAACTTGGCACAGCAGATGGCGTAGCGACAACGCGCACCTCACGGACCGGCCCAGATACCTAATGACAGGCCGGGAGAACGATTCGGTCCCCGACCGGAAGGCCTGGCTAAGGAGGGGACATAGTCCGACTCCAACCTCCTTTTCCGACCGGAGATACGCCGAACCTCTACTTGCAGCTCTTCCCCGACCGACACGGTCGGGGCCGACCGGGAACAACCGACCGAGGACGCCCGCTCTGTAAGGGCCCGGGGATCAGGCGAAGCAGATAAGGTAATGCGCTCAAATCAAACAGCAATACCGAGGACCATACCCTGTTATACCCTACGCACCTGTAGGACGGTGCCACCAGGCCATGCCAGATAGGCACTATGCAACCTTCCGGACGTATCAGAACCTAAACAGTATTGTAGGCGCCGACATTTACCATATGAGGCGAAAACGGTAGAGCCTGCCACATGCATCTGGACATAAATAGTATTGTGGCATCGACAACCGTCTCGTACCCGACAGTATAGGCAACAAGACTAGATAGCACATGTATACACTCTCTCTCTTTCTCTGACTTATAAGAGCCTATACCCTTTGACTATAAAAGGGGATGAACTCTCTGGCTATTCGAGGACCGGCTCTCCTCAAAAAGAGAAGCTAGACGATTCAAGCATTCGAGGATCTGAGAACTTGAATAGCACAATAGCTCTAGAACTCTAAAGCTACACAGAGCATATGCTCTAATACTTAGCACACGTTAGAGCCCATGTCACTCTCGGCCCTCCGGTTCAGAGCCCGACCGGGCCTTTAACAACCCACTTCTTATTCATACTTGTTTGTAACCCTACAGTAAACTTCGAGCACCTGGGCTTAGGAATAAAGTCTCCGACCGACTGAAACTAGACGTAGGGCACGTTGTCTGGACCAGTATAAATCCTGTGTCATCGAGTGCTAGGCCACATCCGATCACAACGCACGATAATACTACAAATATTTACTTGTTGGTCACTTTTCGCATCGATAGTTGACGTCGTCTGTGGGGAGGATGCCGTGTGTTCACGCTTTTGGTCATCGAATGGCCCATCTTTCCACCATCTTTGGCATGGTGGGCTCAAGCGATACGATTCGCTTCGGCTCGCTAGAGTTTCCCACGCTCCCACCTGTTGGGATGTGGGTTCCTCCCATCTTCAAGCCGCTCCAGACCTTCCTCTTCGGAAGTCTGGACTTCATCGCCGACCAGCTCAGTGAACTCCGCCTCCACGAGGAGGCATTTATCTCGGCGCCCACTCGAGGAGGAGTGCCCTCCGTTGGCCCCGGGCCACTCGACTACCTCAACATCGAGACACCCGCGCTTCACCTCGAGCCCATACTGGGCTCAAACTCCACGGTGAGTAACGTATATATTGTTCTTTATTCACTATTTAACACCTTCCGTCGACTCTTTGGAGGGATCCCATTGTCCTCACCACGACCGTTGTACGACCGGTTCCCCTATGGATTCGTGTCCCCCATGGACGCAAGCACGCGGAGGCTCTGAAGGATGAGGACGTTGCCCCCTCTCACCTTTGAATTCGTGGGGATGGCAGGCTACGCTCCCGCCTCCTTTCACGACCTTGTAGATGACGAGGTCAAAAGAGACGGCTCTAGCATCGACAACGTTATGGCACCTGGCCACCCTCTGTCCTGAGAGTGTGTTGTGGCAGACGCCCTGGGACAGCCATCGATGGTAGCGGAATCTCTACAGACTCACACCCCTTCGACCCCTCGTGCGAATGCCCTCGCATGTACGCAGGAGCACGGCGAGGAGTTACGACAAAGACGGTAGAGTCAGCCACCACCTATGCTGGCACGCTCGGCACAGCACGCTGTGCCCCATGCGTGTAACCCGGTGAGCGTCGCTCGGGGTCGTGCCTGCCAGGTCCAGCGTAATATCCTGGATGGAGGGAATGATCCCCCACAGTTTGCTCGGGCTGGCCAGAACATCGCTGCTGCGATGATACTTTTGCGCGGCCTTCCTGAGCCTGTCGACCCCTAAGAACAGGCAATCCACCAGAACCTTCGGGCGCTGGTGGAAACCGCCACCATTCAACAGGCGAAGAGCTTCGCGTCGTGACACCGGCTCATGGCCTCTTGCCCCACCGGGGGAATGGGGCCGCACCAGTTGAATCGCTCCATCCACTCACCACTATAGTGTTAGGCGTAGGGCAGGAGGTCGTGGCTGCACCACAGCCCGACTTGGCGCCCGCTCCACACCGACCACCTATGCACGAACAGCTCGGGCCAAACCATGATGCTTGTAGCATCATCAACAATTGACGCCATGCCCGGCACGATGACGACGTTCATCAAGTAGCGGCGAGAGTAGGCGACACGGGCCCCGGCCTAACCATCGAGGAGTGCGGGGACACGCATCCCAGGCATGGTGGCCGACCAAATGACCGAAGCCCCAGCCCGGATGGCCCGAGGCCATGGGCCTTTGGTCGTCGCATCTAGAGAGCGCCGTTCCCATAGCGCTTCTGACCACCCACTAACATCGCCAAATACGTCGAGGAAACGAACTCCGGTATATGGCTCGAAGACTTCCAGCTCGCCTGCCAAGCCAGAGGAGTGGATGATGACCACTTCATCATTCAATATCTCCCCATCTGCGTGGGGGAGCATGTTCGAGCATGGCTCAAATTCCTCCCGCCTGACAGCATCCACGACTGGGCAGATCTCAAGAGGGTCTTTGTTGGGAATTTTCAGGGGACATATGTCCATCCTAGGAATTCTTGGGATCTCAAGTGCTGCCAGTAGGAGCTCAACGAGTCCCTACGGGATTATATCCGTAGGTTCTCAAAGCGGTGCAACTCTTTTTCTGATATCGTTGACGCGGACGTCATCAGTACGTTCCTCTCTAGGACAATCTATGAGTCCTTGATCCACAAGCTCAGTTGTCTGAAGCCCCGTAACACCTGTGACCTGCTCGACATCGCCACAAACCATGCCTCCGGCGAGGAGGTGGTCTGGGTGGTCTTCAGCAACGGTCGGGACAAGGGCAAGGGCAAGCGCGAGGACCAAGGCGAGGGCCCCTCCACACAAAGGGGCAAGAAGAATAAGAAGGATCGGTGTCGACCGGCCAACCTAGCTTTGGTCGCCGCAACCGATCATGTGGGCAAGTAGCCCCAGCAGGGCTAGCCCGACCACTTTGACAAGCTCATGGAGAGTCCATGCACCAACCATGCCTACCCCGTCAAGCACCTCTATTAGGACTATGAGTTCCTCAAGCACTTTCTGTGATAGGCTGGCAAGCCAAAGGAAGGGAAGGGCAAGGAGGAGGCGACCAAGAAAGGAGGCACGGCGGGCAAGGATGATGACGGCTTCCCTGACCCCAAGGAAAGCCTTATGATCTTTGGGGGATCTGACGCCATCCACTCCAAGCGCTAGCACAAGGTACGCTATAGAGAGGCATGTGCCGCCAAGACGGCCGTCCCCTATTTCCTTAGTTGGTCGGATTCCCCGATCACTTTTGATCAGAGAGACCATCCTCCCCACATCGCCCGATCGGGTCGCTACCCGCTCGTCGTCGACCCCATCGTCCGCAAGAAGCACTCACTAAGGTGCTGATGGACGGAGGCAGCGGCCTCAACATTCTCTACGTCGACACCCTCGATGCCATGCGCATCCCCCAGTCAAAGCTCCATCCAGTGAGCTCTCCCTTTCACGGCGTGATCCTAGGGACACAGGCGTACCCACTCGAGCAGGTCGACCTACCCGTCATGTTTGGCTACCGAGCCAACTTCTGCTCAGAGGTCCTCACCTTTGAGGTGGTGGACTTTCTAGGGTCCTACCATGACATCTTGGGGTGCCCATGCTACGCCAAGTTCATGGTAATCCCCAACTACACCTACCTCAAGTTGAAGATGCTAGGACCGAACGGCGTCATCACTGTGGGTAGCACCTTTTCACATGCCTACACGTGCGACCGTGAGCATTACAAACTCACCACGGCTGTCATCAACTCCGCCGAGCTCCCGGAGCTTGGGAATTCATCGACTCCAGTAGTCCCAGACTGCAACGAGCCAACCTCCTCGAGTGTCTTCCACCCGATTGAGGAAACTAAGGTGGTGGGGATCGACCCCACCGACCTGACTAAGACGGTGTGGATCGGGACCAAGCTCTCGGCCAAATAGGAAAGCGAGCTCGCCGACTTTCTACGCGCCAATCGCGATGTCTTCGCGTGGAAACCTTCTGACATGTCGGGCATAACAAGGGAGTTCACCGAGCACGCATTATGCCTCATCCCAAGCTCAAAGCCCGTCAAGCAATGCTTGCATCGCTTTGATGACGAGAGGCGTGGGGCCATAGGCGAGGAGATCGCCAAACTCCTAGCAGCCAGGTTTATCAAAGAGGTATACCACTCCGATTGGCTGGCTAATCCTATTCTTGTGAAAAAAGAAGACCGGGAAATGGAGAATGTGCA